AGTCATATGTATCACAATGAAACGTTATTTATAATGTTTAAAAAAAAATATTCCACGATACAATCTTTATACAATATTATTACAACTATAATTTGATTCTAATTACGCAAGATGCACAGTACTTCAAAACAAATTCGTATATAAAGGACTAAAAGTATGTTTTGAAATACTATTTTATTTAACTCTGGTTTTAAATCGCATCTCTCTTATCGCGAATTGTTACTTCATAAAAAAGAAAGTTACATGACATTTTAACGAAACTGAAATAAAAATCTTTTATGATGGCCTGAAAAATGTTCTACGAATGTCAGGTACAAATGTTATACTAGTAACTTGTTTTCTAGTTAATACTTCTTTTTTTCGTCAAATTGTATCCTCATAAATCCGATGCCCATTTACGTATGTATCCTAGTATCATCATAGGGAACGCAATTTGCCCATGAGTGTATAATAACGTTAAACTTATAAGCATAATCGTTTATCTTACATACTTTTAACAGAGGCATAAGATAAGGAATACGAAACACGGTGTGAAATGAAAGAAATTTCAAGCACAGTGACGTATTTCATGCAAACATATCAATGTTAGATTTCTTACTTATAACATTATATGTACATTAAATGTCATTATATATTGGATCATTATCGTTGTATCTCCTACAATCGTTATCGCGACTTTAAAATCAGACCACAACGCATAGTTAAAAAATAATTTAATGCCCTAATCACGAATTCGCTACTTACATAAAATATGTCGACGTACAATTAAGATCTAACATCTTACACGTTTAAATAACTAAATAGTTATTTAAACTGCGGATTTTTATGCAAGATAAAATATCTATAATGTTAGTTTAAGAGATATGATTTAGATAAATATTTTCGTTTGATCATTTAAACCTTGAAATATTCACTCAACTTTTTATATATGTATTGCTTTATACATTATATGAGTTTCTCATTCCTGCACATTTAATTTTCTTATAATTGCATAAAATCCGCAGTTTAATTATAAGCATCGAATGATACTTATCTTAATACTAATACTATTAACATTCTATTTAATAAATGCTATCGCTCAAGCTGTAACGAATGATTGAGCAACGGGTTGATTGTAAAATATAATTAAGAGAGGGATAAGGATAGAGAAGTCCTAAGAAATATGTCTGTTTTCAAAATCGCGAGATATGTCTGTTCCATAGATCATTGCAGTATAGAAGGGAAATTAAATTTATAAACGCCACTGTTTATACTAACTGAATGAAAAGAAATGAAAAGTTGACTTAAGAGTACTGAACGCGTATATACGTAGTTAAGTATGTAAGAGTGACATTTATTCAGGACTGTACGTTCGCTAAACGGGTTGGAGTAGTCGGTTGTAGGTCCATTGTGCGACATACCCAACCTGCGATGTCAACATTTTCGGATTCGGCCTTCTTTATCCACTCGTGATTCTATGAAATAAATGAAAGCACTCATAAAAAAATAACAATTATTTGATATAAATACAGAATTGTATGAAACAAAGTGCATACCATTAACGTCTTTAAATCTGCTCTCTCAGCAGGGTTTTTCTTCAAACAACGATCGACAAAATCGGTAAATGTATCACTGAAAATACCAGCAGGTAATTTTGGAGGTGGCTCGTTTACAATGTAATCCAGTAATTCGAATATAGCCATTGGTCTTGGACTACCAGTATCTGCGTAGAAGTGATTTTGTAAATGAAGAAAAGTATTAGTCAAGTGTGCCAGAATCTGAAAATGTCAGGTCGAATCGGGACGAGAATATTTCTCTCCGGAATTCAAAAATTTTCGAGTACGCGCCCTGATCTGATGTCCTTCCGACCTATCCCAGTTATTGGATTCTCGCACACTTCTAATCAGTACATACTATACACTAAAATCTTAACAAGAGTAAAATTGTAAAAAACTTACTATGCCCAGGAGATTGCGTTGTTGGCGTGGAAGCATTATTCGTAGTAGCACTCTCTGCTGGTGGTTGACCTGGAGGTGTACTAAATATCGCAGCTAAGGTTTTTTCATCTGGAGGTGGGATTGGATACATTCCAATCGCCATCTCTACAAGTGATAATCCTAAAGACCATATATCGCTTTGCACAGAATAATGTGTGCCTTGAAGTCTTTCCGGCTAACAATAAAAATTCCTTATAAATAAAGTATTTTACTGTCGCTTATAAAATGATGTGAAACAATTAAGTGTTTATAATCGTACATATTGTTCCACAATTCCTTACCGACATATAACTCCTTGTCCCAACGAATGAATTAGCCATGGAATCGATTAATTGTCCCGAGACACCAAAATCACAGATTTTTATTTCTCCAGCGCTGTTCACCAAGATGTTGCTCGGTTTTACATCTCGATGCATGATCGCGTGTTTGTCTCGCAAATAACTCAAACCTTTTAAAACCTATAACAGAAATCAGTACGTATAGTTCAACGAATCCATACAATAATTAAAAAATGCGCTGATTTCATAATTTTTTGAAAATCAAGTAATTGAATGTAACGGCTCTAAAAAAAAACTTGGTCATTAAAAAATTGAACATCAAAAGGACAGATTTTCAAATGTCCAAAGATTACATGTCCAAAAATGATGCCAGCAGCATCGAAACTAATGAGACGAATAAGTCCTGCTGTGTTAAGAGTCAAGGAGAAGAAGCTCACAGACGAAGAATTATTAGATCTCCAACAAGAACTGAAAACTAACGATCATATTATTCCTCTAGAAGAATTATACGAGAAATTAAATACCAATCCCGTTACTGGCTTAACTGAAGAACAGGCAGAGATGGTTTTAATTAAAATAGGACCAAACACTCTGACACCTCCAAAAGTAACTCCAGAATATATCAAATTTATAAAATGTTTGTTTCACGGATTTGCTGCTTTGTTGTGGATCTGTGCATTATTATGCTTTCTCTTGTATGGAATTAGTATGCTGACAGAAGGTACAGGTGGTGGCATAGAATGGTTGGGCGTAATTATTAGTGGAATCTGTTTGTTCTCAGGCTTGTCAGCCTACATACAAGAATCAAAAAATATAAAGGTAAGGATATTCCCTTCTGCTACTAAATTTATTCTATTATATTTTTTTGATTTATGGATTTTTATTCACATCGATTGACGAGATTATTAACAACTCTGTACAGTTAAGGGTGAATTAAAAATTCTACAAACAGAATTTCTTACTTATATATGTATACATGTATATACACAATACAGGTCATGGAGTCTTTCAAAAAAATGGTACCCACATTTGCGACTGTGATACGCGGAGGCAAAAAACTTCGAATAGTGACCGAAAGAATAGTGCCAGGTGATTTAGTTTATATACAAAATGGAGATAAAGTACCAGCTGACGTCAGAATCATCGAATGTCGTGGACTTAGGGTTGAGAACTCGAGCATTACTGGCGAAAGTGAACCAGAAGCTCGAACAAACTACCCTACGGATGATAATCCTCTGGAAAGCAGCAACGTTGCATTCTTTTCCTCTTTTGCTGTTGACGGAGAAGGAATGGGAATAGTGTTGGCCACCGGCGATCGAACGATGATCGGTCGACTCGCTGGTCTTACGTCGCAGATTGAAAAATCCGAAACACCGATAGCAAGGGAAATCAATCACTTCGTTCTAATAATTACGATCGTCGCTGTAATATGTGGAATACTATTTTTAGGATTGTCACTATTACTCGGTACCAGCGTAATAAAAGCATTCACTTATTTACTCGGCATTATAATAGCGAACATACCAGAAGTTCTACTGGTAACAGTTACCACGAGTTTGACACTGACGGCGCAAAAGATGGCAGCTAAGAATTGTTTAGTAAAGAATTTGGAAGGAGTAGAAACGTTAGGATCAACGTCTACTATTTGCTCGGACAAAACAGGAACTCTTACGCTAAACAAAATGAACGTATCCAATTTATGGTTCGGGCTCACGAGATATCATTTCCCGCCTGGTGAGAGATTAGGCGCCGAGAAGAATATACTGTTGGAAAAGCCAGATTTTCAACCAATGCTTAAATGCGCGACCCTTTGCTTGCGCGCGGAATTCACCATGGAATCTGTTTTGCTGAAACCAATCGATGAACGAGATGTAATTGGCGACGCTTCTGAAACAGGTATTCTTAAATTTTGCGAACACATCCATCACACGGACTCGTACCGAGAAGTATATCCCAAGGTTGCAGAGGTACCGTTCAGTTCTATAACGAAGTATCAGATGTCTATACACGTAGACGACGACGGATATATCATGATTTTGAAAGGTGCGCCTGAAGTGATTTTGGAGAAATGTACTGAAATATTGACTGCAGACGGAGAAACTAGAGCGATGACGGCAACAGATCATTCATTGTCTCGGCGAGCTTGTTCAGAATTGGGCTATCTGGGAGAACGAGTACTGGCCTATTGCGACCTTCATCTGCCTAGCAACACTTATCATCCGAATTATAAATTCAACACTGAATCCCCGCAGACATACAATTTCCCTACGAAAGGTTATAGATTTGTTGGATTGATAAGTTTGATAGATCCACCGAGAGCCGCTGTGCCTGAAGCCGTGAAGAGATGTCGCACAGCTGGTATTAAAGTGATTATGGTAACGGGTGACCATCCGGTAACTGCGTTGGCTGTAGCGAAGAAAGTCGGTATAATAAGCGAAGGGCACGAGACCAAATACGAGAAAAGTGTACTGCAGAATAAATCTTACACCCAAATAACCGAAGGCAATGATCACGCAATTATTATAACCGGTGCAGAATTGAGAAACATGGATTCCGATGAATTGGATATTACTATAAAGAGTTACGAAGAGATTGTCTTCGCGAGAACGTCACCGCAACAGAAATTACTCATAGTGGAAAGTTGCCAGAGACTGGGTGAAATCGTTGCAGTGACCGGCGACGGAGTGAACGATTCGCCAGCGTTAAGAAAAGCAGACATCGGAGTAGCAATGGGCATCACTGGTTCTGACGTAGCGAAGAACGCGGCTGACATGATACTGATGGATGATAACTTTGCATCGATCGTAACTGGGATCGAAGAAGGTAGACTGATTTTTGACAATCTTAAAAAGTCTATCGTCTATACTTTGACGTCCAGCGTGCCGGAAATGTTGCCCATGTTAGCCAGCCTTTTATTTGCAATACCGTTGCCCTTTATTCTTGAAATGATCCTTTGCGTAGACGTCGGGACAGATTTACTTCCAGCAATAGCGCTAGCATACGAAAAACCAGAATCTGATATCATGCGACGTGCACCAAGAAATCCGCGATACGACAAACTTGTGAACAAACGTTTAATATCAGTAGCCTACGGCCAGATAGGTATGACTCAATCGTTGGCCGCGTTTTATACTTTTTTCTTGATCCTTATGTTCAATGGATTTTTACCTGATCGTTTATTAGGATTAAGATTAGATTGGGAAAATAAATCGATTAATGATCTGCAAGATTCATATGGTCAAACTTGGTCCTACGATACTAGAATGGATTTGTTGAACGAAGCTCGCACTGGATATTTCTTAACTATCGTTATAACTCAGCTCATAGATTTGGTAATGTGTAAAACGAGAGTTAATTCAATTCTGCAGCAAGGGATGGATAATTGGTTTTTAAATTTTTCCTTCATTTTTGAAATTGTTTTAACTGGCATTCTGTTGTACGTGCCTGGAACTGAGGAAATATTTAAAACCATGCCATTAAGTTCTTATTGGTATTGGCCCTGTGCGCCACTGGGTATCTTTCTGTGGACATACGACGAACTAAGAAGGCTACTTATTCGTGCATATCCTGGTGGGATTATAGAACAGGAAACTTATTACTAACAGTTATTAATATTCAGAATTTATAATTACGTTTAATTTACAGCTAAAACTGTCTAATTATACTCAATTAATTATTAATAGTTGTAAGTAGAAAGCTATAAGATTTAGACCTTAAGCATAATAGAATAAAATAGTACTTACTGCTGAAGTAATTGTGCCCAATATAGGTTCTGGAATTCTACCAGCTTTCTTCAGTATTAAATCTAAGGATCCACCATCCATATATTCCATACATATACTAATTTCTCCATCACTGTACAAAAACAGAGTATTCTGTATTTAATGTATATCATTAATTTAGTATACAATTATTTTAGGAATAAAAAGCTTACCTATAGAAAGCACCATAGAATCCAACTATATGTGCAAAGTTACATTCATGAAGAACTTTTAATTCTCTAATTATTTGCTTCTTTATAGCAGGTTTAACTTCTAAGTGTATTAACTGAAAAGTTATAAGTGGTATGTATCATTTTAATATTCTGTTGCGCAATTTAAACCAAATAAATAGAATAAATATGATACACACCTTCCTTGCCATTATGAGACCATACTTTTTGTGTCTTACTTTCATGACGACACCACCATTACCAGCACCGAGTTCACCGAGTTTTTCAAAATCTTCATCACACAATTCTCCAACTTTTTCTTTTTGACCGAGGAAGCTCTCTAGCCTTTTCCTTTGCTCTTCATCCATTTCTAGTTCTTCTAATCTTTCTTGAATAGCATCTATGCTCATCTTCCCCATAACTCCACTATGTGACAAAGCAAAGTTAATAATGTAATGAGAAACAAATGATAAACAATTTCTGTCTGAAAGTGTTGTAAGTTCTTAATAACAAGAGAATAATTACTCTGGTATTACTGGTGGTTCAGAATAAATGGGTAACGGTGGTACTGGTGGCGATGGTGAAACAGCTGGAGCTGGTTCTATCGAGCCAGGAGGTAGTGTCAAGTTTAACTTGTTTTTTGACATTTGTAACAGCGTAGTTAAACAATTACACTTGTCACACTATTCTTATACAAATGTTTGGTTATCAACAAGGTTCCCCAAAAATACTATATACACCTATTCATTCGATTTCTATTAAAATTCGTCCCAACGAAAATATTTGATTTCTTAAACAGTACGCACTTCGCGAATCATAGTTTATTAACAACTATCGTTATCATTGTTAAAATCCTTGTAGAATTCAGAGAGCAGTAGTCTAAAACAGTGGTTCCCAAATTTACTTTCCCACAGAACTACACTACATTACAACAGAACTATACATATACATATATATATATATATATATATATACGCATTGCTAGATAGAGTACAGAATAACGATGCGTTTTCATGGTATCTGGTTTTCGGTTTCCCCGGGACAGAAACGTCGCGAATCGATGGCGCGGGACCGCCGAGGGAATGCAAGCTGCTTAGAAACGATTGTAATAAAGTTTTCTTTTTACTCTATATCGGTTAAACCCTTTAACATCTCTTTACACTCTATATATATATATACGCATATATATATAATATATATTAGAGATGGCGTTCAAAGCATGGGGAGTAATGCGCATATATGATGACAGAAGGATCTTTAAAAGGTTTTTGATTTTGTTTAAAATGTGCGCATTTACACCGTTCAGCGCGTTATTTTCAATCAAAATGAATTTGTTGGTCCTCAACTCAACGCAATGTCAAAGCAAACACATAAATTAGTAATATTTGCAATTGCAATGACTTCCAATCTATATAGATAATTAAGAATTTCCAAAATATCGTATTGGAGGAATTATAATTTGACTATAATTTAATTTGTGAGTAATTTATGTTCATTATGTAAAGATCCTGCATAATTCTTTTAAAAATAAGACAAGTATAGTGCTAATTTGATAATGTTGGTAGCTCATATTTCACAGGAAGTTTCTTCCTAGTTACATATATGATGTCTTTTCCTTTAAAGTCGTGCTGGTAAGAGGTACGTGTCTCCTGATTATAACAATTTTTGAATCTGTTTACATCTCCGATTTTGTAACGATAAAATTGTAAAAGCTGTACATTCTTTAAACGTGTGACATGAAACTATCGTTTCATTGCAAAATTGTAAACATTTGATAATAGACGACTAACAAATTTCAAAATATGCGTGACGAGAGGTTAAGTCGTGACACTTGCGCTGCAAGAGGCCGACGCGAAAGATTGTCATCAAATTTTTGTAATTGCAGCACACAATGGGACGTTACTCTCAAGAACCAGTAAACGCTGCAAAATCGTGCAAGGCACGAGGCTCCAGCCTGCGAGTGCACTTCAAGGTAAATAAAGGATGCAACATCTAAGTTTCCATAAATATAACCTTAAACTTGTCGGTGTGTGTTTACAGAGTGCATTGGAACTGTATGTTTATTAATTTGATGAAACTCGGCGGATTTTCTATTTTAGAACACACATGAAACGGCACGAGCTATTAAGAATTTGTCTCTACGAAGGGCACAGAAATATTTAAAAAATGTCATCGAGCATAAGGAGTGTGTCCCATTCCGGAGATTCAATGGTGGTGTTGGTAGATGTGCTCAAGCTAAACAGTTTGGTACTACACAAGGTAAGTCAGTCTATGTACTTAAGAATCATGATTGGTCATTTTCGCATGTTTCAAGTAATTTATACTAAGCTTTGACAACCTACATCTATCTTTAAAAAATTTATTATCTGGAGTATTTAACTAATTTCGCTATGGTTTAATTATTTTTCATTTAAAAAACAAAGTGTACTTAAAGGCTGTCTCTTTGAGACAGTTTAATTGTTGATTAAGTTAATCAGAACTTGTGAAAATGGCTTGTATTCTTCTGTGTTCTTTTACTTTCTAAAATATAAATCATTGCGTTCATAATAATAATATTTTAATATTTCTTACATTGTTGTAATGTAATTCGTCTTCTATGTCTTTAAATGTTTTTACCTTTCCGAGTTTAGGTCGTTGGCCCAAAAAATCTGCAGAATTTTTACTGCAATTATTGAAAAACGCTGAAAGTAATGCTGACGTTGATGGCCTGGATCTTGACCGCTTAGTAATCAATCACATTCAAGTAAACCATGCTCCGTGTTTACGTAGAAGAACGTACAGAGCGCACGGACGCATTAATCGTTAGTATTTATAAAAATGATCATATAATAAAAGAAACTCAGTTTTAAATTTTTCAGTTTAATTAATTTTTATACGTTTTTCTAGCTTACATGAGTTCGCCTTGCCACATTGAGGTAATCCTAACTGAAAAGGAAGATTGTGTGGTAAAGAGCCCAGAAGAAGAGCCATCAAAAAAGAAACTTAGCAAGAAGAAGCTTGCTAGACAGAAGGAAAAGATGATGAGAGAATAATTTTAAATTATAGCCGATAATTGTATTATGAAAACTGAAAATTACACACTGTTGTATAATTTTTCTAGTTCATTCCTATCCTTTTCAATACAATGTACATTTGTGGACAATGTTAAGTGACTCGTTTTAAAGTAGAATAACTTTTTTAATATTGGGTCAAGCAGCATACTTTTCTATGGGATGCTAGAAGAAATGTATGCGTAATGTGCATAAAAAATTTGTTAAAGCTTTTTATTCCTTCAAATCATGAAAAAAAGTGAAAGTTGCGTGTAACTTTTTTATTGGGGTCTCTAATAAAAATCGGCAACATCCCGTTTGTAGGTGTAACTTAGTTATTATACTCCGTCGTGTCGTAAAAATTGAACAAAATAATATGTATCATATTATTTTTACACTTTGGGAAATACTATTATCTTTATTATTTTCTAAAGTGAAGATATACGGAGGAAAATCAATAGGGATAATTTGTTTATTTTCTTTTTAAGACTTTTACGAGAATTTTACGGAGTTAGAATCGAATCTTGTAATCGTCGTATCAGTTAACGCACAAATTTTATAAGTATTACCTGTTATTTCACCAATAATATTTTTGCAAAAGAAAAATTGAAAGGATAATAAGTATTCAAAATAAAAGCCAATTGTTCTGTAAGGAAAAATTTACTTTCTTTTGTCGTTATAGTTTTCTTCTACATATTAAATGGCTTGTATCTTACAAAGCCATAGGATACCCAACTCACAACAGCAACGATTATGTTTGGAGTATATGAACAAATGATAAAAGATACAAAAGTACATACATAGTAAAAATGTTAAAAACATCGAGGAATGAACGGTTAATATAAATCGATATACATAATTCACACACGATTTAAAGATCAAAACGTACTAACATATAATATTTGCAAATACATGAGAATCTCTTACATTACTGTTTCTATGCTTTCTTATAAAGAAAATTCCGTATGGATTCATTCACATTTATTCTTGAAAATATCTGCTACTATTTACTACAAATGTTACTGAATTACCACTACTTCTTTTATTGCCATTCGAACTTGATATGCAAAATAGGAATGTGAAGCTCGATCGCTACGAGACCCGCCATTTGTGACCATTTCGTGACCATTTCGTAAATGCGAGCAAATGCATGGTATGTAACGTACAATGCGCTCCTCTGTGGCACAGTAACTTTTATCACTTTAACAAATACGTGTACGGTTGTACAGTGATGCGTTCGGCTTGATTTAATTATCCAACGATGTCAGGAAAGTGGTTCCCGAGTTGTGTTTGGTAAGAATAAGCACAATAATCCTCCACCTGTGCAAGATACATTAATCTTAAATATTTGTTCTATTAAAATTATAAAATATTTTGAGAATTTTAAATGTGCAAAACAGTTTTTAAATATCTATACATTAATTCATCGGGGAGATCAATATCTCGATACAAAAATTTTAAATCGACAATTTAAGTATTTAATATTTTTAAAACATTTGATTTTTAGACGTTTTTAAAAAAATGGTCCATCTCTCCCGGAAGTACCCTATGTTAATATACTTAGAATTAGGTTTAGAAGATGGACTTTGACTTTTTATTAACGAACTTGTTAGTCAATTATATTTGTTACGTTTAAAAATCTCACCAATTAAAAGAGCAGCGACGATGAAAGTTGGTGCTGGACAATACAAGTCCAAAAGTTGAGCTATTACGATGTTTCCAATGATTCCACCGAGACGTGCTGCGACCATGGAAATAGCGATTCCGGTCGCACGAAGATGTGTGGGGAATACCTCGGTTATTAAACAATCTAAGGCTGCATTGCCGCAGCTTATTACCCCGCTAAAGATTGCTGAAACGATCAAGTTGTGGTGTTTGCTATACACGAAGTACAATCCAATTGAACACAGGCCCGATGAAAATGTACTAAACACTGCAAACAACAAATATATAACATTTATTTAAGCAGTCATCCAGGAACGTTGCTAAAAATAATGTTGAACTTATGTTGAACAATTACAAATTCATACATATTCCTTCGAAACGTTAATTGATATCATTAAACAAAAGAATTCATCATTTTATTCAAAATATGCTCTCATACGAAGTAAAAAAAAAAAAATAGAAGAATATTTATGGAAGAAATAGAAAAAAATATTATAAAAAACTTACCCAAAAAGAATTTACGACCAAGACGATCCATTCCTAAAACAGCGAGGATGTTCGCGGGTATAGCAGACGCTACGGTGATCAGCGATTCCATAAAAACGGAAGCGCCAATTTTATCGGAACAAAAATTCTCGCTATGTGAACCATTTCGTACCACGTAATCCGTCACTTGGCATATCGAAGCAACGTCGTCTGGATGATCGCGATGAAATTCGTCAAAACGATTAAATAACTCCGGGAACCACATCATAAGACCGTAATAACCGATATGGAAAGTGAAATTGATGATGATCGATATTACGGTGAAACGAAGTATCGGCGAGACAAACAGTTGTTTGCTATTGTCTACGATGTCAGCGAGCATTGTCTTGCATCTGTTCCTTTCGATAATATTTCTTGTCGGTTCCGGTTCTTGAAAGTCGTCCAGAATGAGTTCTTTGACCTGTACGAAAATCATATGCACGACGTAAGTTAGATTTAAGAACACTGTATATGCAGAAGATGATTCAGTCATTACAATAGTTACATTGAAACAGCGATTATAAAATGTATTTACCGTGTAACTGTCACGCGGTTTCCCAGTGTTTATGGAATAAATCCCACGGAAAATATCGAGCGCCTCTTCGTGTTTTCCGCAGGTCAAGAGGTATTTGGGTGATTCAGGGAGCAGCAGGAGCAGCCCCGCGACGATAAACGATGGAGCAGCGCAGATCAGCAGGAAGATTCGCCATGAATTGTACGTGAATGCTAAGCTCGTGATACCGATGTCATTAGGGATGATCAACCATGCTAAACCTACAGATAAAATAAAATTTATTTAAAATAAACTCATTCCCTTTCAGTGACCTTCGTGGAAAATACTTGTAGCTTTGTACAGAGTGCCTCTGGACAGTCCTTTATTATCTAAATTATGGGAGATTGACAAAAGTTTTTATACAGAACTTGCACGATTGAAGGGGGCAGATCTTTTTATGGAAACGAATTTTTTTTACGCTATTATTTAATGAGGTGTGATAATGGTCGAGCTCGTTTCTTCAAATGGGATTATATCATTTAATACAATTTATCAAGACAGCTTCTTTTAGTCTGCATGATTTAGTCGATCATTCAATTTAACGATTTGATTATAAGATTAATATATTCCCTTCGTATTTTGTATCTAATTGTAAGTGAATGAACTTACCAGCAACAAAAAGATTCCCAAGGGTCCAGAAGGCAGCCATGAAGGACAGCATTGAGCCTCGCTTCGACTTCGGCTGGAATTCAGCGAAATAGGACCAGATGACGGGTCCACTGCCTCCAAGACTATGTACATAAATCGCAAAGCTTTATCAGGACCCGTTAATCTTAAGAATTATTATCCGACAAATCTTAAGTCATAAATTCGTATTCGTTTCCTGACAATTTTAATACGAAATCGAATATATTTGTTGAAGCTTGTTTTGAGAAACGTGTAATGAAACGAAAAGAATTTAAAGTTGCAAGATGCTTAAGGTTTTACATTAATTATAAATACTTACGCGGCACCATTGAGGAAACGGAAGAACATAAATAGTTCATAAGACTGGCTGAAGCTGGAGGCGACGATGCAAAGCGCGTTCGTGAAGGAGATGGCGATAAGAACCTTCCGGCGACCCAAGGCATCCGCGACGGAGCCCCAGGCGTACGCCCCCGCCATCATACCGATGAAGATGATGGAGTTGAGCCATCCCTTGGCTTGGGTATCGAGCTTCAAGTCACATTGTGCACTAGGTAGAATGAAGGACATGGAAATCACGTCCATCTCCTCGCTAGTGCTGACGAAGCCGCATACCGTGAGGAGGAAATAGTGGAATTTGCCATAGTCTATAAAAAGAAATAAATATAATTTTACGAAACGCCGTTTCTCGTACCATGTCGATATAACAAACTATTCCACATTTAAGTATGTTCTACGTATCTCGTATTTACAAAATATTGATTCATATTACTACGAATCTTAGGTCAGTCGGTCTTATTTGTAGTTACGTTACGAAAAGGAATAATATATGTATTAAAAATTACCGGTAAGTTCAATGGCCTTCTCAAAATCTGCTTTAACGATGGATCCTTTCTCTGGATCTAGGGTTTTGCCCTTTGTTCCAATACCTGATACAAAAAATTATGATCCACTTAAGAAATCGTTCCATACAAAATGGTCTATCTCCTTCATTTCCGATGATAGAAAATACGAATTGTGAAATTAGATATAAAATTCATTTTCACAAATACCACTGAGCAGCGACGAGCTGCAGATATGTAAGTCTGATGTTTTAAGCTGGAAAACTTAATCAATAATCAAATGTCTAAAACTCAGAAAAAAAATTTTACAATCCACTCTCCTTTTGATACTATTTAAATATTGTGTAAAAAAGTATGTTTCCTATCATCGGAAATGAGGGAGATATTTAAATGAATCACCCTGTATGCCCGCACAGTCTCGTGGCTGACAATGAGAGAATATTCTACTTACGGGCAAGTTCGAGGTCCTTAGAGCTACAGCCGTTTAGCCGCTCGTCTTTTACATCACACTCTGTAACAAATAAAATTGTAATTGTAAATCGTTCTCTTCAGCAATCAATTTATGTTGCTTTCGCATTTTTAAAAAATACAATTTTTAAGAATCTTCGTACTTTAGATTAAATATGTGTACTATAAAAGTTGCTTTCTTAACGATACGTACTCTGATTGTGCTTTGAACCAAATTCACTCTCTACCATTCTACGATGTCGGCGCGGTTGGGTGAATCTGGCTTGGTGATAGAGTTAGATGAGAACTCTTCGTGTTCGACGATGGGATTCGTTTAGTATTAGGTAGGTTTTATACTTGTGGGTGGTTGGATCTCGGCGAAGTCTTCCTGCTGAATCTGCGCTGATCTGCTGCTCGTCGGTGGGGCTCGGTTCTGCGCTCACTTGTGAGCTGAAACCCACGATGGAAAATTTGTTATCGGGAAAGAAAAGAAATGGTCTAATAAAGAAAAATCGTTGAAGGCGACAAAATGGGAAAGAAATCTCTATGTCTTTTTATCCTCTCCGAATTTAAAGCGAAAAAAGTGTGATGCTGCATATGCAAGCTGCATTTATAATAAGTAATAATAATCATTATAATCTGAGATT